GACCAACAATATCTGGTAGAGGCTCAGGAACTAGGAGTGATGGGTCTACTGGTGGATTTAACACAAAATGGCACAGAAAGGGGAAAGCGAAAGGCTGCCCAGTTACTTGAACGTATAAACAGATTTGTTGACCAGCAGAAACAGGCCCAGGAGCAAGCATCAAGCTCATGCGCAGACACAGATCCAGCAGTCACTGCCAGCCTCACCAGCAAATGCTGTTGATAGCTGAGAATTTCCGTTCAGTGTTCGGGTTGGCCTTGCTTGTTTGTCTCATTGCAAGCATTCTAGAGCGTTTTTGCTTGATTAGATGGGGAGGATGGAAGATCACCCACCCCGTCTAGTAAGTAATTCTTATGTTTATGTTGGGTTGAGGACTTGAAAGGGGGGTCATAATAGAGGTGAGAAAGAAAAAGGGGCTAAATGTGTGACCTCACAGGTATGTTGAGTGTACAATTGTAACAAGTAATCATCCTCCGTTTTTATTGAAGGGAGATGTTTTGTGTATCCAAATCAAACTCATTCACAGATGGCTAACAATCCAATTGGAAGGGGAGAATAAGAAAAATGTAGGGGGTTGAATGCTTTAAATCCATATGTATGTATAAAGCAATCAAATTGTGTAGGAAGGAGCTTGGGAAGTATTGTTGGAATTTTTTCGATATTGGACTTCGAGGAATTGATAGTTAATTTTTTTAGTTTGTGAAAAATGGATTGAATTTATGGTCCAATAAGATGAACTCAATATTGTTAAGTGATTTATTTTGTTGAGTTTATGTACATCTTTTAATTGATGTGGTTGAGACGGTTAATTGTAGGTTTTAATTTAATTGTGACCCGTAATGGAAGAGTTCATTAGATTTCATTATAAATTACAGGTTAAGTCTCTGCTCAACTTCATAACTCTAAATTAGCTTATCTCATTGAGAGCTGTTTATTGTTTTGAAGGAAAAACGGAAGACCTTACCTTTTGACGAAAAAAATTCGAAAATCGAGTATCATGACTCATGAAGATATATTCTAAACTTATATCATCAAAATCTTGTAATTTAGGTGTTCTAAATTTTATATATAAATTATTAAAATTTTTTATGTGTAGTATCAGAGTCTATTGTATATAAATTTAAAACTCGATAAAATTTGTATTATAGTTTTATGACTCGAATCTACAATTCAATTTTTTTTTGTTTCGCCGTTTATATGGCTGTGATTAACACAAGACGGTAGACGGCGTCGATCAAAACTACAACAGAATGCTAACACCAAAAAAAAAAAACTAATCTGACCTTCAGATTTTTCTTGAATGGTTGGCGGTTATAATTGATTGTCATCAATATTGCTTCAATTTTTTATTGTATGGCTTGGTGGCTGCAATTGATTGTCATGAATATTGCTTTAGATTTTTCTTGAATGGTTTGGCGGCAATCAAATTTTTCTTGAATGCTTTGACGGCTAAACATGATGGCGGCTATTTTTTTTTTTTTTTTTATATCAAAATATATATTAACGTGATTATTAAAATAATAAAAATATGATTTATTTAAACAATTGTGCTATTTAGGTTAAAGTTTGTATGATTAATATATACTCTTTTCTTTTGGATGACTAGTGTAAATAACATGAGGTCATGTTAATGAATAGATGTAAATTTTATTTATATAAATTATTATTTCATGTTGATGTAATTTTGATTGAATTTCTATAATTTATAGGGGGTGTTTGTATAATTCTAATTTTAATTGCTAGTGATTTATATGATAAATTTTTTTATGATTTACATGTTATTTATTAATGTTGATAGATTTGAATTTAAATTACTTAATTTTAATAGTAAAAATAGAATTGAGACCTGAATATAACGATTGATGATTGATGATTTAAAGAGATACATATTAGTTTGTACCTCATATTGATCGATCACATAATATTTAATTATGAGCAATTTATTATAATATCTCAGTTTGAGAAATTTTATGAGTTAAGATAGATGGTTGCCACTAAAGTAGTCAATTTATTGAAATTTATAGATTTTTCTCATGCTTTTGTTACGAGATAGTCTCCAAATTATAATATACAATTACCTACTTAAAGGGGGTTGTTGTGTATTGTAATTTGAAGATATCATGAAACATTGTGGTAGAAGTGCAATAGTCTAAAAGATTTATTTGTCCAAAGGAAATAATTTTTTTGAAACTTGAGCATTCTCATTGGTTAGTTTCATGAAAGAGATGACCTATAGCATATTGCATTCTCTGTCCAAAGGGGAGTTTGTAGTGATATATTTAGATTCTCTTAATAAAATATGACTTATTATGTTCAAAGCATATTTTATTTATTTATTGCCAAATTTTGCTAACTGTTTATATTCTCGTTACCTTGAACCGTCTCTTTTGTTGCAAATAGTAATAATGTCAACATTGAAGTCTTTACTGGTTCTAATAATAAGAGATGAAAACAAGATATTGAGTTTGTCCTGAAAATTGTTGATATAGACTTTGCTTTGAAAGAGAATAAATCTACTAAACATATTAATGAGAGCTCCCCTGAAGAAAAAGAACTTTATGTAAAGTGGGAGAAATCTAATAGGCTGAGTATGATTGCCATGAAAAAGTCTGTCTCTGAACACCTTATAAGTGGCTTGCTTGAAACCAAAAATGCCAAGGAGTTTTTTACCGTTGTAGGAGAGAGATATAAGATATCCAATAAAACTAAAGCTGGGGGCCTAATGAATGAATTAATAAGTATGAAATATGACAATGAGGGTGATGTTAGGGAATATATTCNAAACATATTAATGAGAGCTCCCCTGAAGAAAAAGAACTTTATGTAAAGTGGGAGAAATCTAATAGGCTGAGTATGATTGCCATAAAAAAGTCTGTCTCTGAACACCTTATAAGTGGCTTGCTTGAAACCAAAAATACCAAGGAGTTTTTTACCGTTGTAGGAGAGAGATATAAGATATCCAATAAAACTAAAGCTGGGGGGCCTAATGAATGAATTAATAAGTATGAAATATGACAATGAGGGTGATGTTAGAGAATATATCCTTAGAATGATCCATGTTCAAACCAAACTCAAAGCCTTTAAAATTGTTATTCCTGATGATTTCATTGTTCATCACACTCTTAACTTTTTATCTCCTAAGTTTAGTCAAATCAAAACTGCCTACAATACGTACAATGAGTCTTGGACAATAAATGATCTTATCTCCAAGTGTGATTCTGAGAAAGAAAAACTTAGAAAGAAAGGAGTGAAACTGTTTTATTTGTTTCCTAGCCTAAATTTAGTTTCAAATGTGGGTATCATTGAAATAATAAAAAACCTAATCATAATGCTCCAAAGANGCCTTTAAAATTGTTATTCCTGATGATTTCATTGTTCATCACACTCTTAACTTTTTACCTCCTAAGTTTAGTCAAATCAAAACTGCCTACAATATGTAAAATGAGTCTTGGATAATAAATGATCTTATCTCCAAGTGTGATTCTGAGAAAGAAAAACTTAGAAAGAAAGGAGTGAAACTGTCTTATTTGTTTCCCAGCCTAAATTTAGTTTCAAATGTGGGTATCATTGAAATAATAGAAAACCTAATCATAATGCTCCAAATANCTAGCCTAAATTTAGTTTCAAATGTGGGTATCATTGAAATAATAAAAAACCTAATCATAATGCTCCAAAGAATGATTAAGATTTCAAAAAACATGATACTGGTCAGAATGTGGGAGGTCCTAAGGCTACCATTCAAAAAAATGTCAAGTGTTACTTTTGCAAGAAAAGAGGTCATAAGAAAAGTAAGTGTACTCGATTTAAGTCTTGGTTAGAAAAGAAGAATAAAGAAGAAGAGATTCACAAGCAAACGGAGGCCAAGTGAAGTGAAAGTCAAGCTTAAAGTAGAAAATAATAATGAAGTTCATGTTGAGTTCATATGAACTATTAGGTTGAATTTAAACACTGATTTTCAACTTATTTTAAAAAATACATTTCATGTACCGTCATTTAGGCGGAATTTGATTGTAGTTTCCTTACTTGATAAAATTGAATATTATTTTAAATTTAGTAATTAAAAAATTTAATTGTTTTCAAATTTCAAAATTGTTGATCTTTGTGTTTTATCATCTAATTTATATGGTATATGCTTGGCTGCCAATAACAAATATAGTTATTCAAATATTGTTAATATTATATCCAAAAGATCTCTAATTAAAGAAAAGTTTTCACAGTTATGTCATAAGCGTTTGAGTCACATTTCTTGAGAAAATGGTGGAAAGATAAATAAATAATGATATTCTTCCTCTCCTTGATTTTGGAGACTTTAAAATTTGTGTTAACTACATTAGGGATAAATTGACCAAGACTAAGAAGAAAAATACAACTCACAGTCTAGATCTTTTAAAAATCATTCACATTGACATTAGTAGATCTTACTCACGTACCTTGTGTAGTAANGAGGACCTATAGCATATTGCATTCTCTGTCCAAAGGGGAGTTTGTAGTGATATATTTAGATTCTCTTAATAAAATATGACTTATTATGTTCAAAGCATATTTTATTTATTTATTGCCAAATTTTGTTAACTGTTTATATTCTCGTTACCTTGAACC